TTGCTGAATTGAATTCCAAGCTCTATTATCGCCACTATTTAAATATACCCCACATTCCTCTGCTTAGACCGTCAACCCCCAGCTGTACCAACTGAAATGTGACCCATCATTCAAGGTCTGGCTTAAATACCACTTCCTTCATGAAGTCTACCTTAGTCCCCCAGCAAGATACAACCTCTGTCTCCTGTGAACTCCCAAAACATTTTGATGCATTTATTGTATTTTTATATACTGTGTATTATGGTTATTTAGGTATCTTTCATCCCCCAGCTAGACTGCTTGCTTTGAGAGGTTATGCCATGTTGCCTTATTCATCTTTACACTGTTTCAAAGTATCCTGCACATAGTAGGGGCTCAGTATGTTATTTGTTGAATGAACTGAATGAATTAGCTTAGTAAACTTTTTTATACCACAGAGGTGATACATACATGAAGAAAATAGTACTGTTTTCAGTCATATTTTCAATGTATATAAAAAGACTTACTTATAAAATTCATTTAGGCCTGTAGACCTAGGTCATTTATGGACCCATCTTATAAAGCAAGTATTGATAATGAATGAAAATTTATATTACTCCAAACCATGAATCATACACAGAACATGCAGTCTGATCATTAGAATACGGAAAAAAATCTTCCTAACCATTGGTAAAATGTTAATTTTTTTTACCATAAAAAGCCTTCAGTACGTTTCCTCAAATATCATGAAGTAGAAAATATTACAGCCAGAAGCATAAATATAATTCCCTTCTACTTTGCCCTATAAAGACAAGATATCATGTTTCACCTTTTAAAAAAAACTCCCTATTTTCATTTTATTTTGTTGTATTTGCAGTTCAATCTTTTGGTAAAACAATATTTTCACACTGATTCATTTAGTGGATTTTGGTTTTAGGGTCTTTAGGAGCAATATTTTGAAGGCTGAAGAGGCAAAATAGGAGTCCCCAAAAGAAAAGTAAAACAGAAAAGAAATGAATCCCTTGTAAAACCAAAAAAGGGTCATAGAAGGTAAAAGCAAGGAAATTATGGTCTGCCTAGTGGGGATAAAAGGTGTGGGGGGGATTACTAGAAGGAATATCCTGCACCTGTCTCCTAAAATAATACCCATTCCATCCCCAACTCTTACCCAAAATAAGACAACTAGGCAAATTTGAGGACTTCTCACCTGGCCCCAGCCTGGTCACCTGGACAGTCCAGGCAAGAGGCCCCTAAAACACAAGGGCATGAGATTGAAGAAGTCTGCACTTGGTCAGCCCCACTCTCCCATATCCCAAACAAGCTGTAGGAAAAGGAGAAAAGGCAGATGAGAGAAGGGAAACCCAAATGTGCCTCCTGCCTACAGCTTTCTCATCTTTCTTCCTACACTATCTACCATACCTAGAAGTACTCTCCAAGCAGGTAACATGGAACTTCTAGTTTAATCTAGATAAAATCTATAATCTGAATCTGTAAACAGTGGCTTTCCCAAAATTCCTGGATACTTCAAAAAGCCCCTGAGCCACAGTTCTATTTGTTTACACTCATTATGGTAGTTACACAAAGCAAACAGGTGGGCCTAGCTTCCTTCTGGCAGCATTCATTGGATAATTCAAACATTTATTAAGCACATAATATGTGCAAAAGGCAGCATGTGACAGTGGACGGTGTACTAACCTCACAGGCAGAAATAACTGCTCAAAGTTTGCCTCTCAGGCCTACAGGTCCGTGATGTTCCACAAATCACTTACTCTCTCAATAATCCCAGGCAACATTCTAAGGCTATAAATTGAAGAGCAGGTATCAATCTACTTTGGTTGAGAGAATTTCCTCCCTGGGAGCTCCCTAAGACCATGAAATTACAGGTTCTGTCAAAAAAAAAAAAAAGTACTATGTGCAAGGCAATATGATACTCAATAGAACCTTCCCTTATTTGTGGCAAAAAAAAGCATGAAATCTCATAGAAACAGGTAGGTAGGGAGGCACATTTTGTTTGTCCTTATTTTGAAAGTGACTACTACAACAGGAACTGAAATGCTAATTTGCTCATGTTCTTACTAAGGAAATATTTAGTTTGCCTCAAGGGCCTCACAAGTGACTAGTTACATGGCCACACAAATCCTCCATTAACCCAGATACACTGCAATAGACTTGAAGAAACCAAAATACCTGATCAAATTAACTACTGTGAGCTTAGGACCTAATATATTTAGAGAATGCTTGTGAAGTTATGCTTTGTTTCCATAGGATCTTAAGCTAGCAGTACCTTATAGACACAAATGATGGAACTCAAAAAGGTTTGCGATCCCAAATACCATGTAACCTCATGCGTGAACATTCTTCATATTTGTCACTGATTAACCATAGGATATAATATAAAACAAAGTGATATTCTTTTATTTATTTATTATTATTTATATTTTATTTAATTTCTCTCCTGAGCCAGATCCACATCTCCAAATGCCCACAGAATATCTCTACCAGGATATTGCAATGGTACTTCAAACTGAATGTCCCAAATTGAGCAAGTTATCTTTTTTCCCCAAACCCGCTACTGCTCCTTACTTCAATATTTCTTTCAGTGGTACCACCATTTATCCCAAAATTATGTCTGAAACTTGGGGTAATCTTTGACTCTTCCTTCTCTTCTCATATCATTATTAAGACCTGAAAACTTCACCTCTATAGTATCTTTCCAATCCATCCATTATTCTATTCCCATTGCTAACATCTAGTACAGACACTCATTATGACCTACCTAAGCTATTTCAATAGATTCCTAATTGGTCTTTTTGTTTCCCCTCTATTCTCAATCCAAACCATCCTTCATTATGACCTCTTAGCTGTCTTGCTAAGACGATCCTAAACTGTGATGGGGATCAATGGCTCTGCTGAAAGTGGCATCATCTGTGCTGAGGTCCCGATGACCTTGAAGTTGATCCCATTTATCTTTGCTATTTTGCATCAGGGGCCCATTGTGAAATAGCTGTGACATCACTTCCACTACCTGAACTTCAGTGGGGAAGGGGTATTAATTGTTTATTGTCTTTCCATTTTTACAGTTCTTATATCTATATTAAGCTCTTCCTATAGTGCTACCTATGTTGAGCTTTTCTGAATCTTCAAGGTCAGGATTATCTACTAGCGGCGGAAGATTACTTAGAGGAACTGTGGAACCTTGTTGCCAAGGGGTACAAGGTAGCAAGGCACATTTATTTATTTATTTATTTTATGTAGCCAAGGTTCATTTTTCTTTAAAGCGGCAAGGAAGCTATCCTTGGTATTAGACATGATTGGCCCAGAGGACTAGGATTTGAACTAGTTGACTGGTATGGCTTTCTAAGGCATAAAAAACTCAATCTATGAGAAGTTAAGACTTCTCAGGTTTGGTAAAATACTCATTGCAACAAGTCATTATACCTCTTGAATTATGCATTGCCACCATGACTGATGCAGAGGCAAAAGGGAGGCTCATCTGCCCAAATCAATGTTAAATCTTTTTTAATCACTCCTATGATTCAGAAAACTCCTATTTGCTAAATATTTTATGTTCAACAAGCATCTCATTGAATTCCAATCCTAAACTACTAGACTGGCCTAAGTTAGGTCTGGTCCATAATAACAACATTCCCAGGCATTTTCCTTTTGTGTAACAATGATAACAAACACAATTAAAATTTATCTACCACTTTAAATTATTTTCTTACAACTTTGTGAACAAATAGAAAGCCAACAAACCATGTAAATTTTATTTATGAGGAAACAGAGTTGTTCAGAGGTTAAGTGACTTACCTAAGGACACACATAATGACAAATGTGGGAAGCCAAGATTCCAGGAGACCTATGTATGTTGACTCCAAAACTGTGCTCTACCCACTGTACTATACACTTCCTAAATTTACTTCTACTCTAAGATTTTCCATGTTTTTTTTTTAAAGACTTTTGAATACAATTAACACTCCCTGGCCAACACCAAGGTCTTCCCAATCTTGTACCAAGCTTGATCTTTCCAGCCTTATCTCAAACTACTTTCCTTGGTGTATGCTATACTCCAGCCAAACTGTAATACTTTCCATGCAGTTCTTTATTTTATAGGATCATAGAATCACAAATTTAAAGCTGAAAAGGGCCTTAAAGGTCATTGAGCCTAACATCCTCATTTTTCAGTTGAGGAAACTGAAGCCCAGAGAAGCTAAGTGACTTGCTCATGGTCACACAGCAAATAAATGTCTGAGGCATCATCCAAACCTAGGTCATCCAAACTCCAAGTCTAATACTCCATCCACTATACCAGCTGTCTCTCTTATAAATCAAATGTCTCATTTCCATGACTTTAATTATGTTCTTTCGTGTGCCTGGACTATCTCCTCCTCTCCCCCACTCTTATCCCAACATACTCCATTGAATTCGACCCATCCTTTAAAGCCCAACTCAAATGCCACCTCTTCCAGGAAATCCTTTGTGATCCTTCCAATTTGTAATGACACAGCATTTTGTTTATACCTCTCTTACGTATTTATCATGAACAATTTCACATTCAACAAAATAAGTAACATTTATAAGACTTTATTTATGGAGAACACTATACTCCACTCAGTGCTAAGGTAAAAAATTTTAAATAAGATAGTCACCTGCCTTTGAGGGGCTTAGAATCTAATATAGAAATAACCTTTATCTTACACCCTCCCATTGGACTATAAGCCCTGAGAGGGCAAGGCCAAGTCTTATCTAAACTTTGTATTTAATTCAATGCTTAGAATAATGTTTTACACCAGAATGCAATAAAAGTTAAATTTAATTGAATTTGACAGAAAAACTTTATAGTTAAAGAGAAAATTGTTCTCATAAAATTAAAAATACTAAAAAGTAAATAAAGCTATAATGGCACTAAAAAACTACTGCAACATAACAGAACTACATAATAAATAGTGAGAGAAATAAAATAGGAGCTTCATTTATAATTCATAAACAATTTCAACTCAATAAACTCACTGTTGTTTTTAAGCTCAAAACTAGATACCTACTGCTATCTTTGTAGACTAATATAATGCAGGCAATGATCTTCAAAAGTTCAGCAATGACAACTGCAGTAGATGACAAATAACGAGGCCCATCTTCTTTCAAAGTCCTTGAATAACGCATAGTCAGAACTAAGCTGGTAGTCTGAAAGACCAGGATTCCCAAAGAAAGGTACTTTAAATTGGCAGACATTGCCTTTTCTTCACGTGCCTAAAAAAATAAAAGCAGAAAACAACAATTAATTAGCCAAAATGCAAAGCGTAGAAACAAACACATTAAAAACTAATGAAAAAAAATGAGTACATTATGTATGGCACTGCTTTTTTTTTTTTTTTTTAACCAAGCTTTCTATGCTTCTGGCTCCTCTA